TTCAAAAGAGCATCTTATGGATCACGATTTAGATAGTCAATCGTCTCTTCATTTTCCGCCGCATAAAAAACTGTAGGTCATCAGGTTTCACGAAAATAGGTTGATTTCTTGATTTTCATCCATATTGGACGATATTGTTCATATTGGATTCGCTATTTTGAATTTCTGTATTCTTTTAATTTCACATTTTGCATCTGAGAAAGCTTCCAAATGTATAAAATTATAACAGATACCATTCTATTCATTTATAGTGCACTTCTAGATGTCAGTAACAATGCTAACTATGCCTACTTGGAATTTGACAAAACATGTTATCATTAAAATTGAGCTAAAAACAGACTAAACCGAATCTACATACGATCTATATACCATTTTTTAGAAGAAGAATTCACCTTTACAGTGGTGGTGTAAAGAAAACCAAATATCTCCTTTTTTGACCAAGTTATGGATTCTTAAATGCGTTTCTGATAACTATAGTTACCGATAGGCGTTAAAAGGTTAATATCTATTTCAAAATGAAGCTAGTTATTACTTCATTACACGAAATTTCATCAGGAGAAGACGCGGTGACTTTAATTGCAATGTTATCTCGATAATCACAGTCACGTTAATTGCACTTAGTTAGCGCGAAGTATAATATTAAGGACGCTCGGCAAACTGATACTTTATACGTGAAATTGGCTGCTATTAATTCGTGTACTTTGAACGATATCTCAGCGCAGCGTCTCGACGTTTCGTACCGCTTCGATATCGTGGAAATAAAGTTTCAGTTACACGGAACTTCATTATCAAGCAGCGTCGTATATTCGGTATCTGTGTTAAAGCTAATGTAACGCTCGCGGCACATAAAATCCTATTGTCTGCTCCGTTCATTCGCACACTTCTAACTCGCGCGAGACGAGGCGCGTTAATTCGATGTTGTGAGAATTGAGCGACACAGAGGGCTTGCTTGGAAACTTAATGCAATGAGCGCACCAAGACCGCGGTTAATTGGAGCAACCTCGAAAACTCTCGGTGTAACATCTCACCGGCGCTTTCCCGCAATTATCGAAGTCCCACTGCAGTTGCCTTTGTTCCCGCGAAACGAATTACAGAGATATCACAGACGCCATTAGCACGGTACGCAGTATTTACTTATTACCCTCGGCGCGACGTTAAGCTAAAAAGCTTGTTCCCTCTCCCCCTGAGAGTCGGCCGACATTGCCCGAACTGCAGAATTTTTCGTAAGAGACGGAGGCCACGGATCCACGCGGAATCGCGCACCTGCAACTTACAACTATCGACAGCCCGGCAGACCCCGAGAGAGGGAAACCTCTTCGAGTAAACTCACCGACGGACACTTGGATTGGAAATGTGGAGGTGGACTGAAATGTCAAGAGCTCTCCGCCACGAGTCGAAGCCCTTAACCCCTAACTCAAAATGACGAAACTATTTTGCCATGTTAATCCAGTTTTACTCTATTTCAGGAATCGCCTCGAGAGAAATGACCCAAGATCCACCGTGCACATTGATCTCGCAAATTTGCAGAATGCATCGCGTGAATAATGCTTGAAGTAGGAGCGTGATTCGCACGAACGTGAACCGATACAGGATAACTGCGTCCCGAAATAGTAGAAATAGACAGTATTAATAATATTGCTATTGAAAGCAGCATAAGTATTAATCGTTCCAAACCCCTTAGTAAATAGTCAGCAACGCGGAAAATTCAAGTGCATTCGCAGTATCGTGCAGTGATTAGTAGAATAATATAAACTATCTGAATGTAAAAATTGAAAGTGAATTTCTCTAACAGAAATTTATTGCTGGCTATAATAAATCAGCCAGTGATAATAAGTAATTTTATTACTCGTGCGAGTAACTTTATTCTCATATGAATAACAAAATACTTATTATCACTGGCTAACTTAATTAATTTACTTAATTAATTAATTATAAATTAATTAATTTTTTACTCGTACGAGTAATAAAATTACTTGTTTTCACTGGCCAATTTATTACAACTAGTAATAAATTTCTGTAAAGTTATGAAAAAATGGGCCCAAACATCAATTTCACTTGATGCGCAAATTTTATTGAAGATAATTTTCAAAGTTGGTCATCATCAGATGATGAAGAAAATATTTCACACGTTTCATACATTTCATTCGTTTTCACTTCTGTCAATTACCGTCTATTTTACTAACATTTTTTAAATATCTTATTTATATAAGTCTAACATAAGTTTTAACAGCCAAACGCCATTGCTGAACTTGCACTACCTCGGGATAATAAGGAATTAGTCAGAAGTCGGTCATTTCCTACATAGAATCTATTTTCATGGAAAACAATAAGTTTTACTATCTTGCAGCATATTGAAAACTATATTGGAACCATAACGCAAAAATGGTACTATTAGTACTATCAGCGTATTTCGAAACGGAGCCTGTGTATCCATTTGTTCTCTCTCTCTCTCTCTCTCTCTCTCTCTCTCTCTCTCTCTCTCTCTCTCTCTCTTTCTCTCGAATTGCATAACCGACCAATGCGTGTCACAGCACACTTATAGAAAAGTATTACTAGCTGTAATAAATTGGCCAATGACAAATAATTGTTGTTCAGTAATTTTATTACTTATATGAGTACTAAAATTATCAGCAACAATAATTCATCACTGACTAATTTTTACTAATACTTTTTTATGATACATTTTTATTATTAATTTTGTCATTTTATTTATTTTATTTATCTTATTCAATTTTTTTCCATTTTCATAAATTTTATTTTACTTTTTTACTACTAGTAATATTTTTTTATAAAGACCGTCCCAAACAGAAAGCGATGTATCACCGTACTCTTTATATCATGGCGAATTGTAGAGATAAGGCGGTCTGTTTAGCAGAATCGCGGCAACTATCCGATCCGAGAATGAATAATAGACGGCTCCATTAATCATGACCGATTTTCTGTCACATTCACTATTTCCATTCCCGTGCTCCTGGTCAAACGGGCGTTCGCCCGCGAGAAGTTCAAAGTAACGTATCGCCGTTTCTCGACGTAGAGGATATCAAAAGTACAATACATATTTCACGACGCGTATATCGCGCCGGCACAATTAATAATACACGAATGACACGAACAGATTACTTCATCGTCCGTACGCTTTATCGCGTATTCTGCACGCGATCGGACCAAATACACCGATTTAAAAAATAGCTTCGGTCAAAAGAACAGGCTCCAGCTGACCGAGCAAAACGCTCGCGAACGCGAGAGACAATCGATCTATTTTCACAAAAAGGGGAAACTGTGACACCTGCGGTAATCCCGATAAAAGTTGCTGTCCTCTTCGACAGAAAACGTGTTACCGATGGAAAATGTCACCCGTTATACTCGGCCCCGTACGACCCGGCACTTCGAGCCTCTTCGGTAGCATTTTGCCGGACGTAACATCGATCAAAACGCTACGCCCGCCCGCCTCCGTGGAATTGTGAAAATCCCCTTCGGGCGACCGCGGAGCGATCTTCGCCCGAGCGCGAACTTCAGCAACAACGGAGATGTACATAAAGATCCGAGTCGCGTGTGCAAAATCATGCGAGCTAATTCCGGAAACGAGTCTCGTCGAGAGACGCCTCCGATTGGAGGCGATGACGACATTAGTTCGCCATTACTGCAGGCAGATCGGAAAGCACGACCTGAAAAGCACGAACTATCCAAGAGCTTTCTCACGATCACGTGCTTCAGCCGGCCTCATTTACAAGTCTAAAATCCTCGCAAACAGGAACAATAGAAATGTTACATATTATTTGAGAATTCGTGGACCGCGTTCGCTCGCGTTTCAAAAGCCAATACTCGCGAAACGTTGCAAAGTATTCTTCGCGCACGTCGAGCGACGTCGCGCGAGAAAGAAAGAGAGAGAGAGAGAGAGAGAGAGAGAGAGAGAGAGAGAGAGAGAGAGAGAGAGAGAAAGAGAGAGAGAGAGAGAGAGAGAGAGAGAGAGAGGAAAAGAGAAAAAGAGTCACTTCAAACGTTAAAAAGAACACCTGACCTACAACAAAATAGCTGAAATTTTTTAACTCACGGAGGAAATTTCCCAACTACCTGCGGGGGATACGTTAACCGAGTTAAGCACTCGATTCCGCTGCACTAACTACACGAGTTCCCGCGAAATAAAAACAATGAGATCTCCCGTGCCGCACCGTGACGAATGCAAAAAGTATCTGTCGAAGCGGAGTAAATTCCCTTTGGGAAAGAATATATGTTACGCTGAAATTTCAGGGAACACGAAATGCGAGAGGAAACGAGAGGAAGAGGGAGAAGGAGCGCATGTACGTGCATATGAGAGACAGAGAAGAAGAGGAAACCTATCTTTATTAGCCACGTGACGGCTCGAGAGAGAGAGAGAGAGAGAGAGAGAGAGAGAGAGAGAGAGAGAGAGAGAGAGAGAGAGAGAGAGAGCGAGAGAGAGAGAGAGAGAGAGAGAGAGAGAGAGAGAGAGAGAGAGAGAGAGAGAGAGAGAGAGAGAGAGAAAGAGCATCGATAGTATTCGGAAGTGAGAACGACATCTGAAATATCAGATAACCAAAAAAGTTCGTGCGGTTTTGCGCATTAAAGATTGAACAACGGCGGAAATTCTCAAGAAGAATTTTGTAATTGAACAAATAATTGATAATTCTTCGTTATCAATAACGTGGCGCATCTTCAAGTGATTCATCTCGCCGGAAGAAAATTTTTTAATCCACTTCTGTGTGCAATGCGTTCTTTTAGCACAATACTAGGCGTGTCTTATGACGTGCTTCTGCAGCTTTCGAGCCGAATTTAAATTCATAAAGCAACACGATTCAACATTTTCAGAGGGTGAATAATCGCAAACCAAGAGATCACGTCACGACAAAGTTCACCAATTAACCGACGACAAATCGGTACTGTATGACACACGCAAACACACACAAGATTCGACAGCTCGTTGCGAATCCAACTGAAACAAAAACCGCATCAACTTTCTCGTTCGCCCCTGACAGCTCTCTTACCTTGTACATGTCTGTCCTTGTCCATTTCTTTCGTGAAGAGATGAGAACCAGTGTACCACCACCGTCTCTCCGGATCACTGCATCATGAAACTTTCCAACTACGAGCAATCTTGGGACGCGAGTGTGTCGACCTTAACGATTGCTCGAAAGGTGTGCGCATCTGTCGCGAGAACTAATCACCGTCGCGGAGGCCGCTACTAGTAAGAAAGATCCAGCGCGCGCGTTACCTGAGGACGATTCGCCGCGGAGTGCGGCCCGCTCCCCCCCTCGTTCGCTCTCCAACTATTTAAATCCGAAATCAATGGCACCATCGGCACCGCAAAATGCCGGGCCGATGTGAGTGCGCACTCCCGATTCGCTCGCGTCCGTCGCGGCTGTCCCGTTCGATAGATCACAAATTAAACAGCGCGACGCTAGTCGCGCGAAGAGACTCGCTTTCTGTCGCGGTAAATTCGCGAAAAAGTCGAATCCCCCGCGTCGAGTCCAATTTATCGTGACACGTGCGCGCGCGAGCGCGCTGACCGGATCGCGATTACGCGGACGAATTTGACGTTTGCGTGGGATTCTCTCTCTCTCTCTCTCTCTCTCTCTCTCTCTCTCTCTCTCTCTCTCTTTTTCGACACACTCTTCCGTGCGATTTCGCGATATTCTTGCTCAGTGTCAGTGTGCTCTCTCGTCTCTAACACTTAGATGCGGAAAATTGCTAATAATTGTCCTGATCGCTTCTCCAGCCGAATATCGGAGCAATTGCGGAAATCGAATGCCAACTACATGTCATGGATAATATTCTTAATGACACAGACACACACACGTATACCCCCGCACGCACGCACTTTTCTCTCATTTCCATTCGCTCCTATTTCTCGCCCTTTTTATTTTTTACTACCGTGGATCGGGAAAAATCGATCATCAAAGGAAAATGAAAAGTGATATTGAATTCACGATGAATTTCGACAGTGTATTTTTTCACGTTTCAACTGAAATTGCCGGACAGACTGAGGGAAGACAGAGAAGGTCGCTGTGGATACTATGGCCGAGAAACTGTGTTCGAGCATAGGCGCTCTTAATTTATGTCACGTCCCGGCGAATTACTAATTTGCGGTGAGAAACTGCCGTTCGATCGGCATTTCTGCGCGCCTACTACTGTAAGAGTTGGGAAACAGTTGCAGATCATTAACGAGAAGCCGAGGGGGAGACCGTAAGGCGGACCGAATTGGGAGCTGCTCGAGGGAACGGTCTTCGTGCCGTGGAAGTGAAGGAGACTTGGAATTGGAAACGTGCGTTTGGCATTTTCGGGAAAAGTTGTAAGAGAAGTGAAGAGAAAGAGAGAGAGAGAGAGAGAGAGAGAGAGAGAGAGAGAGAGAGAGAGAGAGTCTGGAAATATGTACATAATTTTCGGACTCCTCGCCCAGTGAAAAATCTTTCCGGGATACAAAAGTCGTCACTGTTAATTTATTTACGTCAGAGTCTCCCACGAATTTGACTGAAGAGCGATAGAAAATTATATTGGAAAATCTATTATAATATCGGCGATGAAACGCATGAGGGAAAAATCGAGCGATTTATGTCACTGAACAGAACTGTGTGTGCACAAAAAATTGAAATTTCTTGTCAAAGACTTTAAGTAAGTCGCGAGATATAAAAGCCGTAATACATACATATATATTTATATATATATACATATATATATATATATATGCATATATACGCGCGCGCGGCTAATTCCTAACGGATTAAAAGCGGGACTTGGATTAAAAGGACGCAAAAGGAACACGAAGAGAAACGACACATGTGGGCTCTTATGTTACAATTGGCAAGTAGCATTGCTCTCGCATGCGATCCTCTTACGGGCGAATCTATCGTCAACCGTCCCGACGCGCTTAAAACGCGCGATCTCGAAAACGCTTTAAAGAGATAAAGGCAAGAGCGAGACCGTAAAACACGCGAACAGCACGCTGTTGTGCAAAGTACATACGGAAATATCTCATAAAAGAGAAACATCGTGCATTATGAACGTTTTTATATCCTCAGGTAAGCCCTCATAACCAAAGCAGCTGAATGGAAATTCCCTGAAATTCTCCACAGTGACTGCGATGAAGAAACACGAAAAGGGAGAAAATAATGCGACGACGCGCATCGAACGAACGAAATCGGCCGGAATGTCGTTTAACCGAAGGATCAGATAATCGAGAGACAAACTGGCGTCGCGACGCGGAAAGGAGAAAATATGACAGGATAACGAAACTGAGGCGTTCGAATCGACTCGCACGAGACTCGCGGCAGATGCGCGATCGGCATTTCAATTTTCCGGTACTGGCTTCCGCGATTTTTAATCGGAGGCAGTGAGGAAAGAATAGATAGCGAGCGAGAAGGAAAGAAAGAAGCAGAGAGAAAGAGAGAGAGAGAGAGAGAGAGAGAGAGAGAGAGAGAGAGAGAGAGAGAGAGAGAGAGAGCTAAAAAGAGGATACGACGAGAGCGACACACGAGAGACTCGCCGGTTTTCACTGGGGTGAGACGAAGAGGCGTTCACAGGAGTGTTGGCGGGGTGCGTTCATCGGTGCCGGGACGACGAAAAAGAGCGAACGAAGAGGATATGAGGAAGGGGTTGAACAAAGAGAGCGCGATGAAGAAAACAAGCACACTTCGCACGCGATTAGCACAGCGGAGAAAAAGCGGCGCGCGAGGGCGGCGCGAGGATGACACGAGGTAGGTTGATGCATCGGACGCGTGCGTGTGCCGAGATACGTGCGTTCGCGCGTCAGCGAGTGTTAAGCGTTTTTCTGCTACCCGGCTGCCCCCGATGCGGGACGCGTGATGCCTTCCTGTCCCGAGGACAAGAACGGCCTGGACCCGACTACGACGAGCCGCCGTCGTGAAGTAGGTGTACTTCGACGGAGCGGCGCTGGGCTACTGACGGTCCTGACAGAGAGAGAGAGAGAGAGAGAGAGAGAACCGGCCAAGCGGGACGCGGTGAACGACGACGCCACGACGACGACGACGAATCCCGCGAAAACCTGATATGCGTGCGCACGATAGCACGCGAATCTCTCCGTTCGGGAGATCAGCGGACGACTACAGTCGATCCTCTCGTCGTCGTCGTCGTCGTCGTCGTCGTCGTCGTCGTCAGTGGAGGCAGCGGCGGTGTCGACGACGGGGTGCGGATCGTATACGTACGAGTAGATCGTAGATCCTCACAAGAAAATCGCGAAGAAAAAGAGAAAGAGAAAGAGAGAGAGAGAGATAGAGAGAAAGAGAGAGAGAGAAGGTTGGGCTTTCCGAGAGCAAAAACAAACGGGATCCGGAAGCATGACAGAGTTCCCTTTTTACAACTACGTCGAGAACGAGAGGGAGTTATGCAGAGGATATATGAATGGCGATGGAAGTTAAATAGAGGGAACGGACTGACGAGAGAGAGAGAGAGAGAGAGAGAGGGAGAGAGAGAGAGAGGAGAGAGAGAGAGAGAGAGAGATAATTTATTCACTGATGATCGCGCGATAATAATGTGGGTGTTCGCGTTATAACGGGGTCGAGTGAGGTGATCGAAAATATCGGATAAATGTGGAGCGACGTGATACCGAGAAGAAAAGTGATGCTTGCCGCACACAAAACCGGGGATATGAAATTACGAAACTTCCAACAGCCGTTTTTGTCTGTGGTCGATCACCGCGCGGTCCTGTCTATTTAAATCCCAAAGCTCAAGTCGGAAATCGCAATTTCCTCATGTGACGCAACGACAAAGCGAAGACAAACGATTCATATGCAAATAAAATCGAGCTCGAAGAAATCGAGCGAAGCGACCATGACGTGAGTGCATTGAGAAAAAAAGTTGAGTTAACAAAACACCAGTAACCGCAACAAATGGTTTGTTAATGTGGAATAGCAAATGACTCCGTCGCGGTAATAAGTGATTTGTTACTTATAATTTGTTGCACTAACCAACAATTTTGTAATGGAAACAAATCTCCAGTAATTTCGTTACTTATCAAAATTACAAATAACGAAAAGTGATTTGTTGCAGTAATTGTTTGATTTGTTCCCCGTACAATTATCAAACAGCAAACGTTCACTTGCTTGCTGACAACAAGTCTTTTTCTTAATGTATATAATGATAAACTGTAATATTAGGTTGGTGTGCAATTTCGCGAACGGATTTTTCAACGAAATTGAAATATATTCTTATTCTCGTTAAAAAGACAATTTTAATCAATAATGTATACACGCCATTCCGTCTTCGGCAATCTTATTCTATCTTTCATATAACTTCATGATTCCCTTGTCATAAGAACTCTTGTGCTCTTCCGGCGAAGAAATTTCAAATGATTTTTCGCATCTTCGAAAGAAAGGAAGTTTATATCTTCAAGAAGGTTCTTTCTGTAATAAACGAAACAGATAATAATCGGGCAATATCGGGTGAATATCAAACTTTGACAATTCTTGCCGAGTCTGCAATACTTGAACGTCTACAAACGTCTTGAATTATCACGGTGAAAGACGGCACCTTTCCAATTGATCAATTCGGAACACTTTCTGGAAACTTCTGCCTTTAGCATGTCCAGTTGAGCGCAGTTGCTTGTCCGAATTAATGGTTCGGTTGTTGGATAGCAGCTTATGTAATAATACACAACTCTAACAGAAATTTATTACTGGCTATAATAAATTGGACAGTGATAATAAGTAATTTTCAAGATTAGGAAAGTTACTTTGTAAAAGTATCTAGTTACGGATAGAGATTTTTTCACTGAAAAAGTAATTAGTTACAGTTATAAGTTACTGAACATACTGAACCTTCAAACATAACATGTTACAATTATTTAGAAAGTAAAATTTAGATTTTTTTATTAAAAAATATATTGCTACTTTATAAATAAATACTCATGTATTTTCTTAAATTTGCAGTTGAAGTTCTACTTATATGAATAATTCTTTTGCTAGCGTAAATTTTGCAGAGAAATGTCTAGTTGTTCTCGTTTTCAAATTGTTGTTATAATTCAAATATTTCTGCACATGCTGACCATTGCATTTTACAATCCTTCTCCGAAGATTAAGATGTTTTATCCATTGCTTGAATTTTTTATATAACTGAAACCATGCAGCGCACTTCTGAACGCAGGTTATGTTAACAAATAAGGACTAGCGACGCGCGACGAAAATGTCCAATAGGCGTACAATGTTTTTGAAAGAAATACAGGTTACGTTCGGAGAGGAGACTCAGCGCTATTGCGTCATTTTATCCTTGTTTTAAATCTAATGAACGATAAAGATAGATGACGCAACAGCGCATTTTCCAAATGCAACCAGAATAACTGTATGCTTATTGGATATCAAGCAACGCATATCGCGTTATCGTGCTGGTCTGCCAGAAACTTAAGTTTATTTTAAAGTTAATTTTAAAACATATAAAGTAACTATTAAAATAACTATTAAATTAGTTACTAGTTATCAAACAAATGTAACTAAGTTAAGTTACAGTTATAGATGGAAAAAATGGAACGAAGTTAAGGTATAGTTACCAAAAAAAATAACTGTAACTGTAACTTTGTTATAAGTAACGAGTTACTTCCCAATCTTGGTAATTTTATTACCCGTATGAATAATAAAATTACTTATTATCCCTTGCCAATTTATACAGCCAATAATAAATTTCTGGAAGGGAATTCCCTTATCTCACCGAATAAAAAGTATGATTCTTTTTGGATGCGAACCATGCTTAGAAGCAGATGATGGACTTCACTTTTTCCACGATCGTTTCCATTCAACGTTATTGCAAAAGAGCCACTTCTCGTTTCTCATCACTATTTATTTCAAAAACGACTCGATTTCATAGTGCCTGTAAAGTGAACCACAGATAAATCCATGCGGTCCATTAACCGTTTGAGCCATACATTTTATTTCTCGATGGAACGTTTTGAAATGTGGTATCTATAAATATTTTCGGAGTCGCTAATTACAAATATGCAGTCAGAATTTTAAAATGAAACGATACGCACAAGTGGTATCAAACTCTGTAAAAAAGTTGAAAGTCAGTCTCTTTTTGTCAATATGTAATAGTTGAATGTCGGTCTTCTTTTCTCTCGTTCTCTGTCACCACATTCGAGAATTTATTTTATGCAGTTTATGACTGTAGCTAAAAATCTTCCATCCTGATGCCCGTCATCTCAGTTGATACCTGATTGTCTTTTGTCAACCGTAAAAGTTGAATGTTAGTCTCTCTTTGTCAGTCCTAATATTCGAATATCAATTATGTTTTCTGTCGTCATAGTCCCGAATTGATCTTATTAAACCTACAACTACAAGTGAATATTTTCTCTTTTTTGATATTTATTCTCTTTATTGATATATGATTGTCGTCTATTGTCGCTATTAATAATCGGTTCACTGTTGCTTGTAATAAACCGACAAAATGGTATTTCATTGTGATTGCTGTAAGCAATGTTTCAAAAAGACGGAATTGCGCGCAGTCAAAAGTAAATCACATTTGAAGCTTTTAAGAGGAAAGTACAATGTAAACTTGAATGATTCATATAAAGTGTGCAATAAATGTTATTATAATATCTAATTTAATTTAATTTAATTCAGGGTGGACAAAGTGTCAAGTTCATCATTCTGATATATATTATGCGTCACATATACAGGCTGTTTTCGAGAAAGTTTAGTAAACGGGGTAAAATTATAACATAGTTAAATATATGGATATATAACGGGATGGAATAAAAAAAGAGAGCACACGTGTGCGGGAAACTGAATGTAGCTCTAAAGAAGCAATATGTTGTACCAACAGTCAAGTATGGAGGAGATGCAATAATGATATGGGCTTGTTTTTCGTAGTATGAGATTGGAAATTTAGTAGCTATAGATGGAATTATGAATGCTGATAAATATATTAACATTTTAAATGAAAACTTAGAAGAATCAATTCTAAAACTGGATCTCGATAAGGAATAGATGTTTCAGCAAGACAATGCAATCCGAAGCACACAGCAAAGAAAACGAAACAATTTTTCCAGAATTGTAAAATAGAAATTCTTGAAAGGTCTCCACAAAGTCCGGATCCACTTAATCCAGTCGAAAATTTATGGAGTTTACTGGATGCAGAGATTCCATCAAAAAAACGCAATAACAAAGAAGAGTTTTTAAATAAATCGCAACTAAAATTTTAAAGAATTTATAAACATTATCTGGAAAAACTTGTTAAAAGTATGCCACGACGTTTACAAGCAGTAATAAAAGCAAAAGGCTACAATACAAAATATTGTACAAAATATAAAGGATTAAATTTCTGTCAAACGGTCGAAGGCATCCAAATGTCGAATTTTTTTATCACTCCAATTTGATTCGAATATCTGGAAATAATTGATTGACCAATATTCAACTTTACTACAAGTCTCGAGTTGCGATGTATCGATCAGAATCAATTCAAGTGCTTATTTGATAGGGCATCCATAGTTGCCGGCCTACCAGAGCGAAAAACATCTTGGATATTCACTTGCTCACTGCACGAAATTTCGAAAACTTCTGACGTTCGCTTACGACATCCTCCCGCATGTGCACGACACATCCACTTGCAGATTTACGTTGCATTCTTGCCTTTACGGAAGCAAAAAAGCATAATATGCACCGGGGAAACTCATTACTGCCTTTTATTTTCAAGTCGCAACAGAAACACGACTGTACTTCTTGAAACATTATCATTTACACCGCAAAGTATACTCTGAAATGTCAGTTGAAATGTGATGTTTAACCCTTTGAGGCATGTATTTTTCAGAAAATCCGAATCACATGAAAACTTATATATGGGAGTTTCTGGAGTCGCTGATGACGAATCCGTTATCAGATTTTCAAAATTCAAGATGACAGATTCAAGATGGCGGCTACAAATAGGAAAAATCGCGATAATTTCAGTGACATCGGTGATTCGTAATCAGCGACCTTGAAAGCTAACCAAAGTACAATTTCAGCTAATCATATAAAAATTTTATGATCCGCCATCTTGGAAATTGAATTTTAGAATGTGGGCCTCAGATTCGTAATCAGCGACCTCAAAAACTAACCAGAGTACAATTTTAGCTAAT